ATTTCCATGGCATTGACTCGAGATTTTTGTCTCACAGTCAATGTCCATGACTCGCTATTATACATGATTGTAAGTCTAACTACTGATTTAACGAGTGCCGTTTTTACCTTTTCCGGTATTTCTTTTTTCCCCAAAAATGTTGTTTTCATAGTGTTAAATAAGCTTCCTGTTCGTCCCATTCTCTCATTTATTTCCATGTCTTGTTTACCGTTTGATTTAATTATTACTCCTAGGTATTTAAAATGTTCCACTTGTTCTAGTTGTTTTCCGTTTAATTGTATTGCGTGTGTCTTTCTCTTATTTGGAATTATCATTGTTTTTGTTTTCTCTGTATTTATCTTATATTTATGTTTGTCAGTTCTTCTTCTAAGATTTCAAGGTTGTTCTGTAGGTCTTCTCTGTTTTCTGCTATCAAAACCATGTCGTCTGCAAATAGAAGCTCTGATACAAGGGAATGAAGTTAGTTAGTTAATGGGGAATAAAGGTTAATGATGTAAAACCACGTAGTATTAATAATTATTACCTTATTTAAGTAAGAAATACTATTTTCTTTGAAGCTTATTGTTTTATTCTTATCACATAAACATTCTTTTTTGTCTTTTAATATCGAATACTTATTTAAAAACCTAGGTATTCAAGGTTGATAAATGCATATCTGGTCCCCATACAGAATATTTATTGGTTAGTGGAGTCCTTCTGAACCTCTGAAGGAAACAGCAATTTTCCTAAGAGAACCTTCCCCTTGGAGACTAAGGGTTCTCAATAAAATTAATTCTTAATAGTCGGTGTGTAGAGTTTGAGTTGAGTTTTGATTATTATCGTAACAATTACTTACAAAATGTGTACATTTGTGCAACCGATTTTGAAAAGGCTTTTGACAAAGTCCGACATAACAAAATGCTGGAAATATTGGAAACAGCTGGATTGGACGATAAAGATCTACGAATAATTACAAATCTATACTGGCATCAAGTGGCAAGAATAAAGATTGAACAAGAGCTGTCGGATGAAATAAATATAAAAAGAGGAGTGAGACAAGGCTGTATATTGTCGCCTTTACTTTTAAGCTTATATTCGGAGGAAATATTTAAGGAAGCCTTAATGGAGATAACCGAAGGTATTATTGTGAATGCAGTAACCGTCAACAATATTAGATATGCCGACGATACCTTAGTGCTTGCTCATTGCGGAGAAGACCTTCAAAATTTAATGAACAAAATAAAACAGACTTGTGATCAGTATGGATTAAAACTCAACGTTAAGAAAACTAAATATATGATAGTTAGCAAACAAAATTATATACAAGATGACGGTATAAAAGTCGGAGATACCACACTGGTCAGAGTAGAGAAACTCGTGTATCTCGGCAGTAATATCAATGAGACTGGGATCCAACCGCAGAAATTAAAAGTCGAATAGAACAAGCCCGAGCTGCCTTTGTAAAAATGAAAAACGTACTTTGCAGTCACGATCTTAACATTGACCTTAGAGTTCGAATGACATCTTGCTATATCTTTCCTGTCCTGCTGTATGGAGTGGAAGCGTGGACTCTAATTGAGGCTATCTTTAAACGCTTGACAGCCTTTGAGATGTGGGTATACAGACGACTACTGAAAATAAGCTGGGTGGACAGAGTTAGAAATGAGGAGGTCCTTAGACGGCTGAACCAAACAACACCACTGGTCAATATAATAAAGAAACGCAAGCTGGAATACTTCGGTCACATTATGAGACACCCTGAAAAATATGATCTTTTACATCTGATCATTCAGGAAAAAATCTAAGGTAATCGTGATCCTGGTAGAAGAAGAACATCATGGCTGAAAAATCTAAGGCCATAGTATGGAAAATCAACTACATCGTTATTTAGAGCTGCTGTCAATAAAGTCACGATAGCGAATATGATACAACGATCGATAACGGTCATGGAACTAGAAGAAGAAAAATATTTACTGGTAAAGTGTTTTTACTCCGTGTGGAGTTGTCTGTCTCCCATCGGACGCGTCCCCAGGTGGTGGATAGGGGAACGCCCTAACCGGTCCTAGGACCGGCGGGTAGGTGGGAAATAAAATACCACCCGTGAACCAAAACGGACTAAGGTATGGTAACCCTAACAGAAGAGTCCCTGGCCCTCCAGGTTGGAGGTTAGGCTTAGGGCTAACAACTCTACCCCGTAAAAAAAATATCGTTACGAGATCTACAGCTAAAGAAACCGGACGGAACTTACGACGACGACCAATGCAACGAAATAAGGACAAAGATTTAAAAATTTACACGTGGAATGTGCGGACACTTTATGAACCTGGAAATCTTAAAAAATTAATAGACATACTAACTCAATATAAAGCACACATTACTGCTGTGCAAGAAGTAAGATGGACTGGCTAAGGAATTATCCAAAAGAGACAATGCGATATATATTACAGCTGTCACAAGAATAATCACGAATTCGGGACCGCATTCATTGTTAACAAAAAAGTAAAACATCTTATTATGGACTTCAAACCAATAAGTCCAAGAATATGTTACCTAAGAATAAGAGGTCAGTTTTTTAACATCAGTCTCATAAATGTACATGCCCCAACCGAAGACAAAAAAGAGGATGGCAAAGATCAATTCTATGAGGAAGTAGAGACCATCTACGATAGATGTCCCAGAAACGACATCAAGATCATAATTGGAGATCTTAATACAAAAATAGGGAAAGAAAATATATATAGTCTACACATCGGAAAATGCAGCGCTCATGACGTCACCAACGACAATGGAAATAGAATAATAGGATTTGCAGCATCCAAGGGCATGGTCGTTGGAAGTACCTACTTCCCCCATAAGAATATCCATAAAGTAATATGGACGTCGCCTGATGGTACAACCAAAAATCAAATAGATCACATCCTAATAGAAACCAGGCACTTCTCTAATCTAATGGATGTACGTACTTATCGTGGAGCTAATATAGATTCAGACCACTTCTTAGTAGGCGCAAAAATAAGAGCAAGAATCTCAAATGCAAAAAAAGAAAAGGGTAAGAAAAGTACTCGCTACAATTTAAAACTCTTGAAAGAGCTCCGTGCACTAGAAAGGTATCAAAATTACCTTGATCATGGTAGACAAAGACCAAGAAATAACACTCACGTAGAACCTCCTTCAATATTTGAAGTGAAAGACGCAATCACACGACTCAAAAATAGCAAGTCCCCAGGAGTGGATTGTATCCCCGCAGAGCTCATCAAACATGGAGGTAACAGCATTATGCACCAAATTCACAACATAATAGTCAAAGTCTGGGAAGAAGAACAAATGCCAGAGGAATGGTGCACTGGAATCATATGTCCACTGCACAAAAAGGGAGATTTGTTGCAATGTAAAAATTATAGGGGTATAACTCTTCTGAATACAATGTACAAAATATTCTCCAACACCCTGTACAGCCGTTTAATTACGTACGTGGAAGAAATCCTTGGTGAGTATCAAAGCGGTTTTAGGCCAGGTAGGTCAACGATTGACCAGATTTTTGTGCTACGTCAAATCTTAGAAAAAACCAATGAATTAAATATTCACACGTTCCATCTCTTTGTGGACTTTAAGTCAGCGTATGATAGCGTCCTAAGAGGTAAATTATACGAAGCCATGAATGAACTTAACATTCCCCATAAATTAATAAGGCTCGTAAAAACAACTATGAGTAAAGTGATTTGCAGAGTGCAAATACAAGGCGATATGTCACAAGCGTTTGAAACATATGCAGGGTTACGGCAGGGAGACGCGCTGGCGTGCCTTCTCTTTAATATAGCGTTAGAAAAGACTATAAGAGATGCCGAGTTACACAATAGGGGAACAATCTTTAATAAACCAACGCAGATTATGGCTTACGCTGACGATCTGGATTTGATCGCACGTACTACACGAGGACTTAAAGAGATGACTTTCACCTTCTTGACAGCCGCACAAAATATGGGCCTTAAAATAAACGAGGAAAAAACCAAAATGTTAGCATCTATTCCAAATAACAGAGATAGAGCTAGAAACGCCGAACAAAACTTCAGTATAGACCAATATAATTTTGAGGTAGTAAATAAGTTTACATATTTTTTGGGTTCTCTCATAACAAACGATAATGACACATCTGAAGAAGTTAAACGGAGGGTACTGCTAGCAAACAAATGTTATTTTGGACTAAGCAAGCAGCTAAAAAACAGAACTTTAAGCCAGAAAACCAAACTAATAATATATCGAACACTCATCCTACCAGTGCTGACATATGGGTCAGAAACATGGACCATCTCCAAAACAGACGCAAATCTTCTGCTCGTCTTCGAAAGGAAGATACTAAGAAGAATAATGTGTGCATTCTGTGAGAACGGTATTTGGAGAAGGCGATATAATTTCGAATTGTACGAGATGTAATATCCTTCATAAAAATAGGTAGGCTTAGATGGGCTGGACATGTGTCAAGAGCAAATGAAAATTACTCACCCAGACGAACTCTATTATCGGTCCCAGTGGGAAATAGGAGTAGAGGCAGACCACGACTGAGATGGAGGGACGGTGTGGACGAGGACGCAAGGAAAATCGGCGCGGCAAATTGGCAACGGTTGGCGATGAACAGAAACGACTGGCGAAATAGACTGGGTAAGGTCAAGGCTCAACTAGAGCTGTAGCACCACTGATGATGATGATGATGATAAAGTGTTGTTACCGTAACACGTTCGACCAAGTCTAAGTACTCCAATCAAATCTTCGCAATTTACTTTGCCTATTATGGCATTGAAATCATCTATTATAATAAGGAACAAGTAACAAATACTTAAACTCTAGAATGAAGAAGTGTGTCCCATATGAAATATGATTGTCCAATCGCATTTTAAGTAGCATATGTTCACCACTTCGACTTCTATCCGTATATATTAAACATAATAATGTATATTTGTTTTCACCAGTGGTTCTCCTCTTTCCTTTCTATCACCGCTTTATTTCGAAACAATAATAATATAGACTTCAATTATAAACTTTTATTTACGCCAGCATTTTAATATAAAAAATACACTTCAAATTCTGAACACAACGAACACTTGTTTTTTCTAATAAAAAGCAATCTATGTGCATTACTAATATTAGATCTCTTACAATTCATCTTTCGTGGTAAACAATCTTTCGTTTTCTTCAATCGGTAAGCTATCCCAGAACTTTTTGTTTCCGACGTGGTCTTTTTCTTCTAAGAAAGTCTTCTGAGGACCAGCAATATGTAGTTGTACCCATGGATCACTTGGTTTCTTAGAAAGAGGCTTCCAGTCTGCATTAATATTTGGTTTTCTAGAAAAAAAAAACAGTATATATTGCAAATTAAATTAGAAATAACTTTGTACCTACCCAGTATCCATGAATGATGTAAGCATATCTAGCATTAATTTCGACATTTGTCTATCATCTTCCGTGGATAAGGTGTCCAGTTTTGCCACCTTGAGAGCGTAACAAGTATCGTCTGCATGAGATACACCTAAAAAACAAAGGACTCATTTTATATCAGTGTATATGTGCTATATGTTTCCTCGATGCAAATTGCTGTTAATTCCAGCTTTATATAGCAACATATTTGAAGAGAGTAATCTCTTGTTGCATTTTTGGCTTATTTTTAGCTTATGTTTTAACATGTTTGATAAAATAATCTGTAGGTACATTTTCTTTGTTTACAAACCTAAAATTTTTTACAGAGCAAGCTGGAGTTACGCCAAAGAGTTACGTACAGTAAAAAAGTAAAGATTTTTAATCAGATTAGATGTATTTAAGATGAAAACAATAAAATACTAATTCACAAAAAGGGTGTCAAAAAACGGAAAAAATAAAAAAAAGAAAGAAGGAGCACTTGGAGCAGATAGTATTTCTAGGGAATTGTGGACAGCATTAGGAGAGACAGGAACAAGTGACTAATGGGTTTATTTCATATAAATATAGAAATAAAAATAAAATAAACGGTTTAGGTTTGATTTCGTTACAGCGTTTCACCATTCACTAATATGCATATTTCAGCCTCTTGGCTTCTTCAGAGCGAACTCATGGCAAGCTCGATTTATATTTTCAGATTTATAGACGTTGGACAAATCCCAGGTGAATGAAAAACAGTACATTGGTACCCGTTGATAAAAACAAGAGAGATTTACAACAATGTACAAACTATAGGGCCATAAAACTGCTTAGTCACACCATGAAAATATGGGAGGGAGTAATTGATAAACGGATACGTGGAGAAACCAAAATATCCGATAATCAGTTTGGATGATCAGATGTTCGAGAGATTCTGTAGTGGGCACCCAATAAGAAAGGAGTACTCGGGTGCATATGAAAAAGATTGTGAGAGACATGTATGAAAGAATAACAACTAGTGTTAAGACAGGTGTGAAAGAGACTGATAAATTTTATTTGAAATTGAAATAATGTCGGTTGTTTAATTCTTATTTGGAAACTACAGGGTAGGTAATATTCTCTGGTGCTTAATATATGTTGATAATGTAGTGTTATAGGAAATAGTAAAAGTGATTTAGAATAGAAACTCGAACAGTGAAGACAAGAACTTGAGGAAAAAGTTTTAAACTTTGGTAGGACAAAAGCAGAATATTTGGAATGTTCGTTTAAATATACAGTTACTACAAATAAAATTATGTTTGAATGAAATCATCTGAAATGATTTTGAAAAATAATAGTTTTAAATAACAAGAATCGGTACTACTGAGTAATGGGGAAGTAGATGGAGATGCATGCAGTAGAAATAAGATTGGATGGATGAAGTGAAAGGAAGCGAGTGGTGTGTTGTGTGACACAAATGTTGGGTACTTAAAAGGAAAAAGAAACAACGAACGCATGTTGCGGGAATGAGAATGCTTAGATGAATGAGTGGAGAGACAAAAAAAAAATTAAATTAAGAATGAGTATGTTGGGGGAAGTCTAGGGGTAGCATTAATTGATGTCAAAATGAGAGAGCATAGGTAAAAATGTTTTAGTCATGTTCAAGAAGAATTGCTGATCTGTGGGTTCTTGGAGAGTAGAACAAAGACCAAAGAAGGCCTGGGAAGATGCTTAGGCAAGACAGTCATTGATATTGATATGACCTAAGCAGTGGCGACTACACAAAAGAGATAAATAATGGGTTTTCTTTAATTTTGGACGCTCTTGGGGGGATTTCCCTATTTTCGCCCTTTGAACCTTTGAACCCTTTTCCCTTGAACCTAAGCACATATCACCTACTAAGTGATCGCCTACTAAGATCATCTTAGTGGTCTGTGGACCTAAGGTAGAAACTTATGAAAAAATGTAATGGAGAAGCTGACTGCGCATAGGGATAAAGGCAAAGAGAATGATGACTATCTTTAATGGGAATTAATCAATTTCCATGTCCAAAATCGTTGTCACCAAACAAGTTAAATAAATTATTTTTATTTGTTATTTGGTAATACAAAAAAAAATATTTTAGATTTTAAAAAAATCACCATGAACTACTTTTTTATATAGTAACAACAAATAAAATTGTTTAATTTGTATTTTGGGAACGTTTTTCGAAGTGAAAATCGAAACGTTAAAAATAATTTTAAACTTAAATTGTGGTTTATTCCCAATAAAAATAGTAAATTACATATTGAACATAGAGTCCGAAAATACTATTCATTGATATTGACAATGTCATTGACAATCTGGCCAATTTATCTTAGGGGTCGATTGGAAAGATAGTTAGAACGGGCGTTCTGGTTTTAGCGAACTCTACTGCAGAATGGCAGAAAGTGGGAGTTACTGTTAAAAGGAAAATTAATTAACAGTTTACGATATGCAGATGACACTGTGATCATTGCAACGAGCATAGAATACCTACAACAACTAATTAAAAGCTTAAGTATCAACAGTGCTGAGATGGAAATTACTATAAATGCTAAAACAATAAAATAGGTAGGTATATGCTAATTAGAAAAGACCACAAAATATACACCACATGTTGACAATGAATGGTAACGTGGTAGAACAAGTAGAAAAATATCAGTACTTGGGAACTTTGATCAATTAAACTAATAAGCAGATTGCAGAGCAATCAACAGATGAGCAAGAACAGATGGAAAATAAACAAGGTGTAATAGAAAAAAGCAGAACCCAAATATCTAAGATAACAAGTGAATATTGTAGTGACCTCTACAGCTCTAAAAACAGTCCACCTGATACAACTCAAAAAACCCTGAAAAAGAAAATAATGAATGTAAACTCTGAAATATTACCCACCATAACTGGAGAAGAAATAGAAAAAGCAATTAAAGATATGAAAAGAAATAAGGCTTCGGGAGATGATGAAATTCTAATTGAAATGTTAAAAGAAGGAGGGAAAAAGATAAAATACTACCTAAAGATACTTTTCAATAAATGTTTGTTTGAAGGACAAATACCGCAAGAGTGGAATAAGGCAAATACAATTCTGATATTTAAGAAAGGAAATAGGTCAAAATTAGCTAACTATAGACCAATATCTCTTTTGTCACAAATCTATAAAACTTTCACTAAGGTGATCATAACTAGACTAAATAACAAATTTGATGCCTACCAACCAGTTGAGCAGGCAGAATTTAGAAAGGGGTACAGCACAACCGACCACCTTCACACTCTTAAAATATTGATAGAAAAGACCAACGAATACAACCTTCCAATATACCCAGCGTTTGTTGACTATGAAAAAGCGTTTGACGGCATATAACTATGGGCAGTGGAAGAAGCTCTAGTTAATTGCCGAATAGATTCACGATACAGAATGTTAATCCACAATATATATCAAAACGCCACTATGAGAATTCAGCTAGACAGAGATTTGCAAATTCCATTAATTATAATTTGTAGAGGTCTCAGACAAGGGGATACAATCTCACCCAAACTATTTACTCTGGCGTTGGAAGACATTTTTAAATCTATAGACTGGGACAATAAAGGGATTTGTATAAACGGGAAATATTTAAATCATCTAAGATTCGCCGATGATGTACTCCTGATAGCAACAACTATGGAACAACTACGAATAATGATTCAGACCTAGAAAAAACATCTCTTGAGAAAGGACTAAAAATGAATGAAGTAAACTAAAATATTGACTAATACAGAAGACAGATAAGTAATTACCATAGGTGGAACAAACATAGAACACGTCCAAAAATATATTTACTTAGGACAAGCTATCAGAGCAGACAAAAGTAACCAGACTAAAGAAATAACCAGAAGAATAAGAATGGGGTGGGCTGCATTCGGAAAACTCTCATATACTATCAAAAACTAAAAAATACCTTTAAAATTAAGAACGAAGGTATTTAATGCATGCGTCCTAGCTGTTCTGACATATGGTGCCCAGACGTGGACGTGTACCAAGAGCAACTTAGATAGAATAAAGAAAACTCAAAGAGCCATGGAAAGACAAATTTTGGGAATATCGTTGACAGATAAAACGAGGAACGAGTGGATAAGATGCAAAACCGAAACAAGAGACGCTGTCGAACATGCATTGAAACTAAAATGGAAATGGGCTGGGCATAACGAAAGATATCAGGATGGAAGATGGAATAAAGAAATTGGCCGCTGGAGACTATATACTGCAAAAAGGTCAAGAGGTCGACCGCAAATGAGATGGAAAGATGACATTGAGCAAAGCGCAGGTTCAATGGGGAAAAGACAAACAGAAGATAGAGACAAATTGAGACAAATAGGAGAGGCCTATATTCAACTCATGAATAGATTTTGGGCTATAGATAGAGATCCAACGATAACGTAGAGTTAGAGAACTATGAAGCCATAGAAGACCAAAAATACGACGCCAAAGACACGTGCTTCAAATGCAAAATGCCAGGTTACATCCGTAAAAATTGCAAAAACCCATGGAAAAAATTCTGTTCACGTTGCGGCAAAAATGGAGTTTACAGCAGTGACTGCTGTATTAGGGGTCAGGAAAATGAATGATAGACTCGGAAAATAAGAGGTTGTTTCAGTCTGTGGAGTAAGATTCGACTCCATTCGTTCTCGCCGTTACACAACCAGCGAACAACGACTCTTGACTTTTTGCATTATTAAAAATTGGGCATAAAACTTACAAAGCGCTAATTGATACAGGGACTATTAAAAATTATGCTGGAGATGCTATAGCACAGGTATACAAGGACCCTCTAGAAAACTATAGCGGAATAACAATACTAGCGAACAGTTGATCTATGAAACTAAATAAGAAATTAGCTATCAACTGCGGGATGGATAATTTACAGACCCGAGAAACATTCATTATAATGCTCGGATTAACAGAAGACGCTATACTCGGAGTAGAATTTCTTAGGAAAAGTCGAGATATGAAAACACAACATACGCAGCTTCGAGAAGAAACTTGTAACGTTTTGGAGGATACTACACAAAATACGGAGCTAGAAGGATTAATAAGAAAAGAATTAAGGAAATCCGAGAAAGTAACAGGACCCACTAATATTAAAATACGAAATAAAATTGAAGAAGAGATGCGACCCCGTCAAGTAATATAGACGGCACAACCCCGAAATGTTACAAATCATCAACCAAAAAGTTGACAAGATGTTAAAGTAAGAAACTATCGAACCCTCCACAAGTGATTGGAGTTCACCGATTGTACTAGTTAAAAAAAAAAAAAGAAAATTCGTACAGATTTTGTATCAACTTTAGAAAGGTTATCGAGCTATCAGACAAAGACGCATATCCATTACCCAGAATATCGAAAATTCTACATAGACTTAAAGAGGCAAATTTCATTTCTACCTTGATATAAAACAAGGTTATTTTCAAATACCCCTGGAAAAGACAAGCCTCTCAGTAACAGTTTTAACCGTACCCGAAAAAGGCCACTTTCAATTTAGGACTACTCTATTTAGCCTGCACTCCGCTGGAGCAATTTTCCAACGCCTACTGGATAAAGTAATATCTCCCGAAATAGAGTTCGCATTCGTCTACTTAGATGATATCGTGGTAATATCGAAGACAATTCAAGAGCTACCCGTCAAAAAATCAGGTCAAATATAAGGACCTGAATTCAGGTCCATAAACAGAAGCATCAGTTTTATCACCGGTAATAGTAAAACTAAAATTGTCGAATAGTAGCAATCGCCAACAGGTAACAGCGTCAAAGATTTAAAACCGTGGAGGAAGGAAGCCACCTCCAAAGAAATCTTATCCCCACTTGAGACAGATAGTACTTAAGCAGCGAATTCTGAATACAGAATTTAGTTCAACCAGAAATCAGCCATGGAATATATACAAGATATTCTCGAAGAGATGAGCCCACTATAAACACCAGAGAGACCTAGCTGCCGCTAGGGAAGGAAGCAAATCGCATCCTCAACGACAACAAGTTTCACCAGTTATTTGGTACATCACCAACACCACCAAAGAAGCACCGCGCTGACGACACACCGACGGGAACTGCAGCAACGACAACTCCAGGGGAGCCACAACTAGGCAACAATTCTGACTTAACGGAAATCGTTCTGAAAAAACTGGTGGAAAAGGAAACCAACAAATTCCCGCTGACCTACAACAACGGCAGAAGAATAAAAATCAAGTTGCTACGAAGGGTGAATGGGATCACGCCGTTGTAGGCTCCACTTCACAAAAAAATGGGCTCCACTTCACAAAAAAAGGTGTGATATTTTTTGTTTCAAAAAGACGGGATGTAACGATTTGCATTGCCTCGATACCACCAGCTCTTCATACACACGCATACCCATCACAAGTTCCTCCTCCATTCACTTACGCTAAAGGAGATGGAAGGCCTCCGACCATACAAAAGAGCAGCCCCCGCAAGGGAAAGATAGTTCCGCCAGAGTATTGATCTGACAACAATTTCACGGGCTCTAGGGTATTGGCTAAAGGCTAACCGCTTCTGCTAGAGTATTGATCTAGTGGCAGTTCCTTACCCGGTCTTGGAGTATTAATCTGAGATATACCTATTGTCCCCTGTGTCCAAGTACTGATTGGTCTCCGTACGTTCCTCTCTACTGTCTGTGTGTATTAACGCATATTATATTTTTTTGCGGATATTAAACAGTTCGTTATATCGCCGTCGATGCCGTCGTTGGCCAGGATTGATGTTTTAATTTTTATTGTATATATTACCTAGAATCACACTAAAGAAACAGAACTAATCACCATTATACAAACAAGAAAACTGGAAAGCCTAGGTCACGTGATGAGTGGACCAAAATATGAAATTTTGAGACACATAATACCGGAATTTTATCAATGCAGATTGATTGCAACGAAGACTGCAGAATATTTAACTAAATAGTAAACACATAGACGCCGTAGATTCTCAGTTAAACCAAACAATGAAGCAAATATGTCACTTATATATTCAAATACGGTATAACTTACCTATATCGACATTAGAGTGTGTTTTGAACTCCGAAGAACTGTGTGCTCCTCTATAATTAAAGTAGTAGGAATATACAGGCGATTTTGTAGCTTCCGACTGCAATCGTGCAGCTGTTTCTATATCTTTTATAAAAAGTCTATCGCTCAGTATCTAAAAAACAGTAATTATAAATAAACGGAAATTTTTAAACGAGAATTATGTATATTACCTTAACAAATTTAGCAAAATCGCGTCTACTGACTGGAGTTTTTTTAAGATACTCATTTCTGATTTTTTGGCTGACTTTATCCATTTGATATTTTGGCACAGACTCATGGTAATGTAAAATGTAGGGCATTATGCTATCCCATTGTTTGTCCAAGTAGTCAGTATATTCGTCAAAGTAAAAATCTGTAAGTAAATGTCTCTCGTTTATTAGAGTTTTAACAATGAAAGCAGTGAGAGCTATTTGAATTAACTTACCAGATGCTGGATATAATCCTTCAGAAGAAGTGTACGAAATCATCCAAGGCAAATCTTGAACCAGACCTTTTTGTAATAGCAGGAAAGGATGCTCTGGAAAAACTGGATCTTCGGCCCAGCTATCTACTACCAAACCGAATGGAGAGAATGGATTGTATAACCAGGGCTGAAATATAGTTTTAAAAGGGAAATTTAATAATATAATATCGTTTATTTTAATATTTCTTTATATTCCATCATTTTTGTTTTCTTAAAACTTAGAACATGTATCTTTGGACTTTGCACCGAGATTAAATATTTTTTCTATTGTATTTTCTAATTTCCTCCTAATTTTTAAAGCATTCAGCGGGTTTCTGTCTTAAGTACAACAATATGACATAGCGGCAAGTTTCATTAATGTTATGTGTTTTGCTTATGTATAGGAAGTCAATGGACCTAACAATACATAGCACGATGACAAGAATATATAAAAAACAAGACAAAATCTTTTAACTTAACGACTTCACAGACTATAAAAAATATTGAATTCCAATTCAAAAAGTAAAATATTGCGAATATGAAACAAAAAAGCCTAATCTCTCCAGTTTAACTCTCTAGTTCTCTCGAAATAACATGTTAAACAACAAAAGCAAAACAAAGTTTTATGCTACATCTATAAAAAATAAAGAACAGCTTAAATATAATATGTATAACAGCTGATACAACCTGATGATACATTTTTTGTATTTTTTTATTTGTAATTAACGTGTTTCAACAGCTTAGGGTCATTGACACGGGTACAGTTTACAACAGTACACATATTTTACATACAAACATTTGATATGAACAATAATTATTAGTGATGAAGCTGAACAATAAAACTTAGCACTATCCACTGGTTAGATTAGCTGCAATAAATATGTTTCTTTTAGAAATTTTAGAACACGTTCAAAATGGTTAGGAACACTAAGAATGTCTTTTAGTTTTTCTTTTAAGTTGTGCGTGCTTCTAGATCTAGAGGAATCATATTGATAGTAGTCCATTATCACGTGTTTGATGGAAAGAAGAGTATTACAGTAGTGGAATACTGGAGGGTTTTCTGATGCCATAATATATTCATGTGTGAGACGTGTGTGTATGCCTTATTCGTAGTCGGTGAATAACTGATTTTTCTTTTCTGTTCATAGATGACATATTAAGGCGAGATAAATTGGGTTGAACTTTATCCAGCTTTGTTTTTGTTTAATTCCGCAGATCTGCTCATGAGTTGAGACATGTTTTGTTTAATCAATATCTTAAGATCCCTAAGAGTTTGGACCTATTTGAAGGATGAGTCAGAAGAATATGGAAGTACAAATGGTGATTGTTTTGCTTTTATTTAAAGTAGGGTGGATTAAAAATTTTAATGCCTGAAGTATTCCATATAATTCTGTGGTGTAAATACTACAACTTCTAGATAGTCGCACATAGCTATTGTTATCATTATGGAAACAGCGTAGCCACAACCGTATTCATTCTTGCACGCATCGGTGTATAAAATTTCATCAAATTGTGTTGAGTATAGGATGTTTTAAAAGGATTTTCTGAGAATTGAGTTTGTGATTTCTGTTTTATTGAATCTAAATAAATCAGTATTGAATATTCGAAGATTGTGCATCCATGGAGCTATCTTATAGGTATAAATAGTAGTAGTATTTAAAAGGTTGATCGAATCCAATAAAGGAGATAACATTGTGGTAACGCGAGTGTGTGATTGGATACATTTGCTGGAGGAGGCTCTATGGGATTAATTAGATTTATTACCGGGTACCTGGGTTTGCTGATATTCTTATAAAGTATGAAAGTAAAAGTTGTTGCCTTCTTAGATGAAGTGGTGACTATAAAGATTCAATACAAACACTTCCAACGGGACTTGATTTAAAAGCACCAAGACATTGTAGTAGGTATGTGTTTTAAATCCTGTTAGAGACTTTAGGGGGAATTCATATAGAGGATACTGCCATAGCCTAGTTTAGAGCGAGCTAACGCTCTATATATTTTAAGGAGAAATTCTTCATTAGCTCCCCAAAAGTAACCAGTAAGAGATTTAAGTAAATTTATTCTTTGGGCGCAGTTTCTTTTAAGTTCCTGAATATTCTGTCTCCAGGTAAGCTTTTTGTCAAAGTTGACACCCAGAAGTATCAAATAGTTAACTGTTTGTAAACGAAGTCCCTTTAAAGATATAGAGAGTAAATTAGGTCTATGCTTTTTGGTAAAGTGAATTACTTTAAATTTAGAAGCTGAAAATACAAATCCAGTACGCGTAGACCAAGTGTCTATTTGATTGTATTTTGTAGCAAGGTGCTGGTGGTAGCTGTGACTCTGCCTTGGCAGTATAATATAATACCATCAGCATATATCGACTACCTGATGAATCTATATATGAGTGAAAGTCATTCATGCTAAGTAAAAATAAGGTAGTACTTAAAACAGAACCCTAAGGTAAACCATTATCCAAAACGTGTGGTTTTGATATTTTTTCATTTGTTAATGCTCTAAAAGATCTATTTGTTAGAAATTTTTAAAAAATAAATAAATGTTATCAGTTAAATTATATTCTGTTAATTTTCTGAGAAATAAATGTCTTTGTACAGTGTCAGAGGCACTTTGAATATCTAAAGTTACTGCATTAACAATGCCAGTGTGCATTGTGACTAATTTACCCACGGTACTTCGATTTGATCTGAAGCCTATTTGGAATGTATCAAGAATATTATTTCTTTCTAAATACCATAGCAAGCGTTTATTGACCATCTTTTCTAACAGTTTATATCTTGAACAAGTGAGAGAAATTGGTCTAAATGATTTTAGATAATTTGGAGATGAGTCATTCTTTTTGATAGAAATTGTAGTTTCTTGTCGCCAATGCGTTGGGAACTGTTTTTGAATATATAATATATGATGGGATATTGTATGAACCAGAAGCTGAGTTTTTTAATGAGGACATGGCTTCGGTTAATTCTAGGAGATTAAAAGGAAGATTAATAGAACTAGTGTTAAAAAACATTTTGGGGCTGGATATGTTGGTGTCTAGGTTGTTGGAAAAATTCGGAATATTTGATTTACCTAAAAAGTGGGAGACAAAGATATCTGATATGATATGTTGATCATCGGAAATTGTTTGTTCCTACGCAGAGATAACGGCGATTTTGCTGAATGTATAAAAGAAATCTTCGGAGCGACTATTCACAAAAGCTCTGAACGTGAAAACAATCTTTCCTGTCGAAAAGAAAGAAACGATAAAATGGCTTCACTATGGACATGAAAATTTCTTTTCACGTTCAGGGCTTCTGTAAATAGTCGCTCCGAAGATTACTTTTAGGATGAAATACGTATAAGCGAATATACAGAGGCTCTATACGTGAAATCAAATCTTAACTGTATTTCTTTTTATTTTGATATACTCTGTATAAGTATGAGAAACCAATACGCCAAGGATTTTTGCTTAGTTAAGTAGATACGTTGGGGAATGCAATTTTAGATTCCCCATGTTGTCTAAGTAGACCTTTATCAACGTCTGTTTGCCTTGCAATTCTTAGAAGGTACATATTAAAGCAAAAATCTGGATTTTGGTTTCGTTAATTAGAAATCTTTGGATTTCTAGTTCGTGATTTAGTAAGGAGAGATGTTCTAAATTAATATTCTTTTTGTTGGGGAGACTAGTTTTCGAATACTTAGAATAAGAAAGCTGGTTTACATAATTGGGTTAAATTTCAGAAGTTGATCAACGAGATTTGAGGTCGGTAGATATATGCATGGAAATACGTGCTTGGCGGAGGAAGGCGATGGATAGGGACGACTGGAAGAGAATTATTGGGAAGGCTAGGACCCACACAGGGTTGTAAATCCAAAATGATGATAAAATATATGCAGATAATATTAGAAATTCTGGATGCAAAGAAAATATTTTTTGGTCTGATGACATCACCAATGGCTTTAAAGTAGTCTTAACGAAGTTTAAAATTTTCTTCTGGAGAACTAACGCCTATTTTTTTTACAAAAGATGGTTTTGGTGTATATTTTGCAGCGGTTACGTATGAGAGGGATGTAGTTGCTAGAATGTTGTTTGTAGCACTTTAAAGGGCCATGGTTAGGATAAAGACTGTAGGAGTACTGTGTATATTTGTACTGCTCATGTAGACACAGATAATATCCTTGTGTTATATCTCTTCTTTAACTGGTTTTACTATCAGAATTGTATTTAAAGCCATTAAGTTTAATGTCCAGCAAGAACCAGTCAACTGATTAAACCAGTCCTTGGTACGCACTTTGTATAAATTAAATATAATTTATAATTATTTAATAATATAACGAAAAAAAAATACGTACAAAACTTCTCAAAAAATCACCTTTCTAAATTACCCTATTAAATCGAAAATAAATACACTAATTACTACCGATAAGACAAACTGGATTTTAATTGTATTTAGCCTATGTTTTACCCGTTCGAGTGCTAAAACAGGAATCCTTAGATGATAAATTACAAAATTAAAAAATTTGGATTTTAAACCTAAAAAAATTCAGCGGAAGGAAATGGAGAAAGAACATTTATGAAGGATTACTGGATGTAAAATAATTAAAATTTACTTATAACATTTAAAAGTGAAACACATATCCTAAGCTACTTCAGAAGTTATTAATAATAATAAACCATATTAATAATCGTTAATACCACTATCTGGCAAATTTACCAGAGAAGTTAAAAGAGCTGCAGATATTGAAGTATAATAGAAGAATTGGAAACATATAAACAGTTTGCCCATTAATATAGATCTTATGTTTTGAACTTACTTGGAATTGTTTTACAGTATTTACAATCTGTTTTGCTGGCTTTGTTTTCAAACAATTAACCATTTCTTTATTACTTTCTGTTGGACATCCTACAAGAGAAGCTACTTTTTTGGCATGGTTAAGCGGTTCTTCCATCAACACCCAAGGGTTTAGAACACAACCACTTTGGGAAACGCCCCTTGCGAATAAGCCTAAAAATGATTGCAAATCATTAAGCAAATCAATAAGTAAATATTGATTCAACTCGAAAACATCACAATGAATAATTTTTTATGTAAAAGTTGCGGTTTTGATATAAAAATAAATACCCTGCATTTTTTTTCAGTAAAGATACCCTAGTTCTTAAAAAAATATTACTCAAAATTAATTATTTAATTTAAGGGTCATCTAACCTCATTATGTGGCTAATTCCAATTACTTTATAGACTTTTTTTGACTGATGATGATCCGATATAATTGAAAACGTTCTGAAAATTTATAAATCCATTTTGGATAATTTTCAAAATTTCTTAATGAATTGTATACCATTTTACAAAAAAAATGTATACTTCAAAGTAAGTTTTTTAAAACTATGGTGTAAAGCCAACTACTGGGAATTTCCCTTTTAAATTTTGTTTTATTAGTTCTACAAGGGGGTGCTATTTGCAGTTTGTTTCATAGAACCGATACTAGGACTGCAAATTTGGGGGAATATTGGATTTTGTTCCTGTGCTGATAGTTTAACTGTAGGTGTTGGCGTTTTATATACGGAGGTGGTTCTCTCGCTAAAACTTGTAAGCTACGAATAGGACTATTTCTAAAGGCACCCAGTGCTAATCTGCAGCTGTGGATTAAATGCTGTATAGTTTTTTAAAAGATGTTTTGCTTTCGGCACCTTAACATCCCCCCCTCATCTATCTTTTCTTCTTCGTAAGTGGCGTAATGTAGCTAGCCTATTAGCAGCTATTGAGTTTTTATGTTTTAAAAAACAGTTGTTGAATAAATCTAAAGAGATTATTTTTGCTGTGAAAGGTAGGTATTTTTTAAATATTGGTAGAATATCATCTGGTCCTCCAAATGTAATTTTGCAGTCAGCAAAGATTCTAGTTCTTCAAGAGTAATAGCAACATTTAATGTATTGTCAGTGTTTTCTTATGGTTTTAAAATATTCTATATTTTTCGTGTTATATTTTAGTCGCTAGTCATTTGTTTTTTTACAAGTGATGATCTCATTATTGTAAAGTAATGCATTTATATGTCTAAAAAAGTTGGTACCTTTCAGTTTACGAATTTTAGACCATATTCTCTGTGACGACGTTAATGGATATATGGATGATACGTAAATTGTTTAAGGATCTCTTTTAAAGTATTTTATAACAATGTAGTTGAAAGTGAAAGTGAGAAAGAAAGAAAGACGACCTTCTACAGGAAGTACAGAAAAGTATGCCCTCTATTAGTAACGGAACATCACAAGAAATATGGGAGACTATTAAACACTGCGTAACAACACCAGTGGATCGCTCACAGAAAAATAATCCGGTGAAACGGAAACACTGGATAACAGATGAAACTCTTAAAGTCATTGAGAAAAGAAGAAATTTTTGTAAAAGTGGTGTACATAGTGAAAGGGAAAAAGCTAGTTTAAGAAACCTCAATTAAGACATAAAACAAATATGTAAGGCCGACAAAAAACAGTACTATCAAAGTATATGCAAAGAAATTGAGGAGAGGCATGGTCAGAATAATCAGCCGAGAGATCTATTTAGAAAAATACGCTACCTGACAAGAGACTTCAGAGCCAGAACTTGGGCCATTGACGATAACACTGGAACTCTGAGAACAAACAGAGAAGACATAGCAGAAACATGGAGATCGTATTGCAGGGACGCCATATAAAGATGATCAACGCCAAGAGCTTGTTAGCAAAATCTCTGACGAGGTGGAAGAAGAACCTGATATACTCGAAAATGAAGTAAGACAGGCTATCAACAAGCTCAAATATAACAAAGCACCAGGTCCAGATATGATAACAGCAGAAATGCTTAAAGCCACAGAAGAAACCGGCGTAAAGTTACTTCATCTACTCTGTAACCAAATATGGCATTCCAAACTATCTCTCTTATATCCCATGCCAGCAAGATATTGCTACATATAATCAATGAGAGACTGAAAACATTCCTTCAAAGAGAAATTCCACAAGAGCAAACTGGATTTACCAAAGGTAGAGGCACTCGAGAACACCTGCTGAATATAAGACAGATAATTGAGAAATCTAGGGAATTCAACATCCCACTATACATCTGTTTTATAGATTACCGTAAAGCGTTCGACAGGGTCAAGTGGAGACACTTATGGTGAATACTAAAAGAAGTAGGCGTACCACAACATCTAATTATGCTTATAACTGAACTATATGAACACACTACTGGATCAGTTAAAGTACTTGACACACTTTCGAACGAGTTTCATCCAGAACGGGGTGTCAGACAAGGATGTATACTATCTCCACAATTATTCAACATAATATATGGGGAGTATATTATGCGAAGAGCACTTGAAGGATGGGAAAAGGGCATCTCAATAAATGGTCATAAACTAAACAACCTACGTTTCGCAGATGACACACCCCTACTTGCAAATAGTCAAGCAGAGCTGATGGAACTTATACGACTGATCGAAAACGAAAGTCAAATATTTGGTCTGCAATTAAACATATCAAAGACAAAGATCATGATAGTGGATAGACTACACAACAATCATCCACACATAAACACAATTGACCGGTTCGAGGTTGTGAGCTCGTACTTATATCTGGGATCATTAATCACAAACACAGGGTCATTACAAGAAGAGATTAAACGTAGATGTGATCTAGCAAAAGTTGCCACAACAAAAATGACCAAAATATGGAAGGACTGTCAAATTTCAAGAGCGATAAAGATGAGGTTGATCAACTGCTTAATATTCCCAATACTGACCTACGGATGTGAATCTTGGACTCTAAGACAATCGGAGAGAAGAAAGATAGACGCCACTGAAATGTTCTGTTGGAGACGAATGTTACGAATTCCTTGGACCGACCGTAGAACAAATAATTCAATTTTAAGAGAGCTACAAGTTAGCCAACGACTCTCTAGTAAAGTCCATCTCCAACAATTAAAATATTTTGGGCATGTTATGAGAGCAAACACAGAAAACATGGAAATACTCATAATACAAGGAAAGGTAAAAGGCCGAAGATCACGAGGAAGATCCCCAACAAGATGGATAGATCAAATTACAGGAATATGCCAAAAACCTATGCATGAATTAAAAGAAATGACCAGATATAGAGATCTCTGGAGACAGACAATACACGACATCACGTCGACCACTACACTCCTCCTGGGGGGTCAGGATTGAAGAGAGAGAGAGAGTTGAGAGTGATTGACTTTGTAAGGATATATCGATGGCAGAAAATTAGCTAAAATAATGAAAGCTATTTGGATCCCTCGTATTAAGTAACGATAAATCTATATTACAGAACCAATTATTGGTTTGAGCTTTTTTTGGGTTTAGATTGTTTAAGGATATTGAAAACAGGTGAGTCTGTTTTTGGATTATCTTTTTAATAGTTTATAATTATCTACATTATTTAAGGATATTGATGTGTCTGGTGTCATATTATTTTCGATATTATCTACAGCTGGTTATCTTGTTCTGTAAGAAGACGAAGTTTAGATTATCTTGATATATGGTTTTGGTGGGGTCGGTTTCCATAGATCTGAAGAAGACTCAGGATGCGGGATATACTCCAGAACACTGAACCTAAGAAATAAAGTGAGGTATGGGCAAAAATGTCAGCTTAGTTTAGACAGAACTGGCTGGTGTCTCCATAGCCACAAAATAGATAATCCAAAAAGGTATAGCCGGAAAAAAAGCACAGATAGCAGTCAAGCGCTACTAACCTTGAGTAGACCACGGGTCACAGCAGAATTAGTAATAGAGTTTCACGAATCACTAACTCAAGCTTTGAATAGTAATACCATCATCCTAAAGTGGGTTAAAAGACACAATAGGAATAAAGGCAACCGTATTGTTGACGAATTGGCTAGGAAGCCAGCAGGCCTAAGACTCTTAGGAGCTGGAGATCTTTTTAGCTGATCAACTAAAATAATCGCGGAAATTGTCAAATTTCACTCCTATATGCAAACCGTGAAAAGATAGGAAAAGGACAAGGATGTAGACATGCCAGGATAATACTAAGTAACCTTCAAAAGTCGGTATCAAAGACCTACTTGGGACAACTAAGCAAACACTTCCATACACTGAGGCTAGTAGATACACATCTATGTTTGAAGTGTGAACGAGAAGACGAAACTGTAGAGCATGTCCTATGTGAATGCCAGGAGTTATCGTTAATACGAGAGTACGCGTTCGGCGAGTCCTGGCCCACACCAACCCACATAAGGGAGATGTTCCCTGGTAACCAGTCCACCTTCCTGGAAATGGTAGGATGGACAATGAGCTAAGGACGACAGCGAGGATGCACAATGGGTCAATTGTGGCCTAAGCGCTGTGAAACTTAACTCCCCCTCCTTACTCTCCAGACAGATAATATATGGTACAATCCTGTTAAAAATAAGAATTGGAAAAAATTATTTTAAATCTTATATATTTTAGGAGGCATCAGAAGGCGTATACTGGAGCATTGTAATATACACATAATGCGCTAGTAAGGCACAAACATACTTTCACCTATCCTTACAAACCGATAATGGTTGTTTTTAAGTTGAAACAAAATAAATTGATATCAATTTGAATAAAAAAATTATTGTAATTATAGTTTTAATGAAAAAAAAAAAAAAAAAAATACTAAAACTATTTGAATTTTTTCGCAATTATATGGTAAGGAACTAGGACAGTAAAGAAATCTAAATTTAACGTCACTTTCTATCTATCTACCTATACAGCCATTGCTGTCCACTTTTGGACATAGGCCTCCTCTTCCTTCTTCCACGTCTCTCTATTGTAGGCAGTTTGTATCCACTTCGGGCCTGCGTGTTTCTTCAAGTCATCTGACCATCTCATTTGTGGCCTTCCTCTTTTTCGTTTGTAACTATATGGTCTAAAGTGTATAATCATGTTATTTCATCTGTCGTCTTCTGTCTTATGGTATATCCATCGAACTTCCACTTAAGTTTTGCTATCTGCGTTGATACATCGGTCAGTTTTGTTTTGTTGCGGATCCAAGTATTTCTTCTCTTGTCTGATAGCCTGATGTTCAGCATTTGCCTTTCCATGGCTCTTTGGGTCTTTGCTATTTTTTCCATGTTTTTCTTAATGTCACTTTATAACTAAATAATTCCAAATTGCTTGAATTGACAGTTATATAATTTTTTACTAATAGGGATAGATTTCTACGCTTTAAAAAAAGAAAATAACGGCACCAGTCCAAAAGTAAAGTGGAGGGTAAATAGAACCTGAACCCAAATTTTTATGCAAATCGGTGGCCACACGGAAAATTACATCGACATTTTTAAAGTGTTTAAAAAGTATTATGCATAATATCCTTCTATTACAAGAAACAAATAAACGAAAACATACTAAATCACTTCATTCAAAAGTGGATAAAATCCTATAATTTTAATTTATAGGTTTGTTTCGAATATAGGTGGGCCACATTTTGTAAGTAAATAAATTATTATACAAAATCACCTTAACTTTTATATATAATTACCTTTTGAATGTGGTGTTATAAAATGTGTATGTACACTTGCTCCCCCAGCAGACATACCCATAAGAGTTATGGAATCAGGGTTTCCTCCGAAATTCTCTATGTTATCTTTTATCCACTTTAGGGCTAAAATTTGATCTCTCATTCCATTATTTCCAGGAACTACATTATCTTCAGTACTCAAAAAACCTATAATTGACAATAAATAACAATAAATAAATAAATCCTAGCAGTTTCTTCTTACCTAATGGCCCCAAACGGTAGTTTATTGTAATATAAATAACGTCTCTATCCATGATTATTTCTGGACCATAAATTCCTCCATGGTTAAACATAAAAGCACCTCCATGGATGTACAAGAGCACGTTCAGCTTCTTTGATGACTGTTTTTTTGGAGTGTAAATGTTAACGTATAGGCAGTCTTCATCCCCTGAAATAAGTTTTGATAAGTAAAATGGTTAATACAATCCTAAAGTTTGAGTTACCTGATACCATATCTTGTCCCTCTGGAGTCATATGATCGTACTGAATACACCTAAATATTGTTTTTGCCTTCCATATTCCTGTCCATGGTTTTACTGGAACAGGTTTCTAAAATATTGCAGTATTTAATAATGATGCAAAAGGAAATAAAACCAAAAAAAGTTGGCTTCAGCGGCCATTTTTTTAAATTAATGAATTATCATCTTGGCTTAAAATTATTTTTTCCGGACATTTCCACTATAAGAACAAAAATCCAATGAAAGACTTGGACAGAGTATACTGAAAACCAACGCACCAGAAATTTTACTTCATCCACAATTTGAATCAAAATTAAACTTGACAAATAAATCAAACCTCAAAGAAGAGTTTCAAATAATATTAAAAAAAAACGTGCTATTTTGGGGACGAATTAAAACGGCTAGAAAAAGCATTGGCATATAACGAAAATGCTTCAAGTAATATTAAACTATTTATAAGTAAGAAAAGAGACCACAAACGAAAACCAAAAGGTATAGCATTCTATTGTTATACTAAATTCAAATCACACATTGTAGAGCACACCTCCTCAAGAAAACCCCCAAATTGTATTAGAAGAAACAAATGAGCTTCGTCGAACCTTACATTTCTATCCTCGGACGTTAACATAAGTTATCCTAGTATTCTATTAACTTTAATCAAATACCCTACCCGTGATGTAATTTATATTTAGTAATATATTAAATCTTATACTACTAACCTATTAACTTAAATCGTAAAGATGTTTTGCAACAAACAAGATGTGAATCTCAGTGCTATAAAATGCAAAAGCTCTTCTCAGATGAACTAAAAATTCTAGTATCGATTAGGACCAACCGACAGATACTAACCTTTCTATTGCCTTTGTAAATTACTATGTTTTTTGATGCTATGCTATGGTAAATAGCTAAACAAAATAAATTACACATTTGATAGATATTTAAAATACCATCTTATTAGAAATAATCTATTAAATTTACCTCAAATCTTAAATAGCCAACTGGTGGACTGGCATATGGAATACCTTCGAATGCATTAAATTCTTTTCCGTTGACGGACTTTTTAACGTATCCCTCGATCACTCCTAGTGGAAGAGTAACTGTTGGTGGGGGAGAGTCCTTGCATATTACCACTGGAAATCAGAGCAAGTATAAGATTCTTTATATATATATACAGTGTGTAAAAGCCAAATGGAATAAATTTATTATTTAGGTTACTGTACATATTTATAAAAAATCCCGAAACACGTCAAATTTAAATTATAACTTGACATTCTTTAACGTGAAAATGCAACCCCTACCTTCAACTTCTTTAGAATGATAGGTACAACCCCCAATTTTTAAAATAGGAAGTATAGGCTTGTGATATATCGTTTGAAAAGTCTTTTCATTCTCCATTCAAAAATATCGCTACAATCAAAAACTAAAATGTAATGCAAAACGTAATAAAATGTAAAACACGAAAAAGAACTATGAATGTTAATGAAGTAGATGTTCAAAATGTTCACCGCGAACGTCTTGGCAACATCCTAATCTCAAATAAAACTGTCTTCTAACATTATTTAACATAACAGGCGTGATTGACCTAATCGCAAGCGTTATTCGTTCTTTTAAGTCATTTAAATCAGAAGGTTTAGTTTTGTACACATGGCTCTTCACATATCCCCATAAAAAGAAATCTAATAATGTAAGATCAGGGATCGCGCTACCCATTCAATCGATACTCGCCTCCCTATCCACCCATTGGGAAATATTGTATCGAGGTACCGCCGGACATTAAGTTGGTAATGTGGTGGTGCTCCATCCTGCTGAAACCATATCGTAGGTATTGAGGGTTTCCTGGATCAGGATATAAATTTGCCAACGTTGGAATGACATCATTTTGAAGTAGTGCCAAATAATTGTTGCCATTCAAGTTGCCCTCAATGAAAAAGGGACCAATGATATTGTTTCCTACAATCCCTGCCCAAACATTAACCTTTTGAGGGCATTGAGTGTGTTCTTCTCTCATCCAGTGAGGATATTTTCCGTGGCCCAGTAGCGGCAATGTTGCCGATTAGCATGACTGTTAAGTGAAAAAGTACACTCATCAGAAAACATAACGTCTTCTAATTGGATAATATTGTTATCCAACATGTCCATCATTTGCTCACAAAAAAAAGTTCTCCTATCAAAATCGTCTTCCATGAGCTCCTGAGTAGGTATCATCTTCTTCTTCTTTAAGTTCCACTCCTATCGGAGATTGGAAGTCATTCTGGCAATTATAATTTTATTGGTTACTCGCCTGAATAGTTCAATTGAACTGCATCCAAACCATTCACGGAGATTGCGTAGCCACGAGATTTTAAGTCTTCCTACGCTTCTTCTACCTTCGATTTTACCCTGTATTATATATCATCTTATAGGAATGCAATTTATTTTCTTTTAATATGTTTACTATCGATGTATGGCTAGTATTGAATGTAGTGGATGCGTATGTGGATTTTCCTGAAACTCAAGCAACACATCTAATTTGAGTTCATCACTCAGTGATGGCAGCTGCTTTTCTTATTTTCCGTACATGACCAAACTCGCGAAACTGTTTCTCTATTTTACTTATTGTTCCTTGGGATATAGGCGGTAAATTAGGAAATTTCTCATAAAATAGGCCAGTTACTTCCTATTGTGTTCGGGTGTTATCTCCGTATTATCAAGACCTAAATGGGAAATAAGTTATATAAAAAAATTAATTTTCGTTAAATAAAATGCACTCAAAAAATATTTCAAACCGATAATTTAATTCATTTTTGTCATAAGGGTGGTTGTAAGGGTTGAAAATTTCCAATAAATAAAATATTATTGTATATCTAGGGTATTCATTTTTATTTGTATTTAAATACATAATTGAAATGTCTCAAGCGGCTACGACTTTTTTTCATATTATTTTTATAAAAAGTATTAGCTTTTAAGGATTTTTATAGGGTTTTAAGGGTTGAAAATTGTGAATAATTAATTTTTATGTTAGAGAACACATTAAAATACAAACATAATTGCAATATTTACCTTATGCGAATAAACAAGATTTAAGTGCATAAAATAATTAAATCCGTGTTTTTCCCAGTTAGATAAAATAATTAAATACGGTAGAGCGTATATAACTTTTGAAGCGGAGGATAAGATAAGCTTAATTTGAAATTTTCAAAAAAATCGATGCAGTTATAAAAAATTCGGAGATATTACCATATTTTAAGCCTCAGTAATTGGACTATGTATGGTGTGGAGGCCTGGACGCTGACGGAGACGCTCACGAGAAAATTAGAAGCATTCGAAATGTGGGTGTATCGACGCATTCTTCGTATATCCTGGACCGAACATGCTACCAACATAGAGGTAATCCAAAGAATCGGAAAGGAGAAAGAAATCGTGAATACAATTAAACAAAGAAATCTAGGCCACATATTGAATATCTAGGCCACATATTGAGACACGATAAGTACTGTCTGCTACAATTGATTGTCCAGGGAAAAATAGACAGTAAGCGAGGGCCAGGCAGGAGAAGACACTCCTGGAGAGGGCCAGGCAGGTGGCTCCAAAATCTGCGGAAGTGGTTCGGGCTCACATCGGTCGAACTATTCAGAAGCGTCGCAAACAAGATCAGAATTGCCATGTTAATAGCCAACGTTCGCAACGGACAGGGCACTTGAAGAAGAAGACTGCATTATATACAGGTTTTACCATTGAACTTCGAACAAAAAAATACAATTATGTTAAAATGTTCATTATTATTATTCATTGTTCCTATAAAAACGTGTATAAACACACGTTTATAATTAATACTGAGACGGCTTTCTACTCCCCCATTAGAGCTAACCATGGAGAACTGGCAGTGTTAGCATTCACATATTGCGCAAAACCAAAGATAGAACTTTCTAAAGCAGTGGTTCTCAACCTTTTTGTGGCGACGGAACACTTTTAATTACCGAAAAAAAATGCGGAACACCAAAGCAATAACATGCATATATTGATAAACAAATTAGGATTAGCACATAAATTCGATAATAAACTTTATTATACGTACTCAAATTTGTAAAATTTTACTTAAAATATGAAAACAAAAAACATTTTTAAACTTAACAAAAGCGTAATTCTCAAAATACATCATATGAGTAAATACTTCAAATTAGTGAGACACTTGTGCCTGGTGTCGTTTGCAAATTTGCTCAATATCAGGCCTGATGTGGGAAAGAGCTACTCTCATTTCTTGTTCTAAGTTTAGCAGCCTTTCCCGTTTCTTATTTTTAATGTTTGTTAAAGATGAGAACCCAAATTCACATAAATAGGACGTTGAAAACTGTATTAAAATACTAAGAAGTGGATATTCCTCTTGGACCAAGATCCAAAATTCCTGAACATTCACTTCTAAAAACTTAATTTTCAGAGTACGATCAGATGACAATGAAATAAATTCTTCTTCTTGGTTCAGAGAAAACTGGAAATTGGCTGTATTACTTGTGCTAAAAGGACTTCTTATCCAGTCATATTTTCTACGTTCAGAGATGGAAAATACCTGGCAATTGTCTCCTCTAATAGTGATAAGTGTTCTGTAACTATATGCGCGATTTCTTGTTCTTTATCTTCATCACCTTCATTCTGAAGCAGTGGAAACATATCCATTTTATTTGTCTCTAAAATGCGCTTCTTCCAAAATGACAATTTTTTCTGGAAAGCTTACAGCTTGTCCGTGGATGTTAAAATATTTTCATTTTTGCCTTGCATACTTGAGTTAACGCCATTTAAATAATTAAAAATATAGGCCAGATCTGCCACTTTAGTGCACCATGCATCATTTTCAAAATATGTGGTAAATGTGTCTTTACCTTCTTCTTGGAAAAAAGTTAACAGCTCCGTTCTAAGTTCATAAATTCGACATAATACTTTGCCCCTTGACAACCATCTAACTTGGGTGTGCAGCAACAAACATTCATACTTTGATTCCATTGAGATGCAGAGTTGTTTAAAAAGACGGGTTTTTAGTGGTCTTGATTTGATGTAATTCACGACATTAACCACTTGGTGTAATACAGATTTCAAAGTATGGTAGCGTTTTTAAAATTAGAGATTCTCTATGCAAGAAACAGTGCGTAGATATGATATTTTCATTTCGCTTTTTTGCAAGGGTACAAAAACCTTTTATTCCTACGCAAAAGTCCCATGATATATTTTTTTTCTCTAAATATGACGTTATGGAATCAAATACATCCTGACCTGTTGTACGTGCTGTAAGTTCTCTGCAGCATAAAAACTGATTGACTATTTTACCTTCGTCGACAAATCGAATAAATCCTAATAAATGAGCTTTGCCACCAATATCAGTGGATTCGTCAACCTGCAATGCGAAGTTTTTTTTGTAAAGTTTATTTGTAACTTTTTCCTCAATATCTGCAGATAAATCAACAATCCTCCTTCTTATTGTATCATCCGACATAGAAATTTTCCGTATTTCGTTTTGTGCATCGTTGCCAAACATAATTTTGATCATCTCACAACATGCTGGTAATATAAGAGATTCTGCAACAGTGTGTGGTTTCTGTTTCAAAGCAATTAATTCGGCGACCTTATATGAAGCTATTTGTGCTTTGTCGGAAATTGTTAGCGACCTTTCAAATTGTTTCGCTTGTTTAGCTTGTGTCTCCAAAAGTCGCTTGAAATAATCTTTATTTTTTGAAGCTACACTAGCGTGTTTGGTAATAAAATGGCGTTTTAATTTAGTGTACACCTACATTGGAACCGTATTTCTCCCGATCCGATATCTGGCGACGTCGGCCGACGTCGGATTAAAGACAAACTCAAGGTATTAAATCAGAATGCCTATACTGCTTCGTCATGGAAGCAGTATAGGCACTATAATTTAATACCTTAAGTTTGTTTTCAATCCGACGTCGGCCGACGTCGCCAGATATCGGATCAGGAGAAATACGGTTCCAATGTAGGTGTACACTTAGCCGGAGCCATTGCGCTATTAGCGAGTGTCTGCCCAGAAACAATACACTTGGGAATTGGACAGTCTTCTTCGCCAGTCCAAATGAAGCCATAATCCAAATATTCATCCAAATATTGCCGGTTCAACATTTTTTTGCTGCGCTTCGATTTGTCATCAACCTCACTTCGTAAAGTTCCAGTATCTCCGCTGGTGCTCGCTTCATCATCATTAATTATGAGTTGTTCCGCAGTAGTTTTTCTTTTAAGTTTGAGGAACTTATCCATTTTAATTTATTCGTCTCTAAACAAAATAATGCGGATGAATGCTTCACATTTTGTAGACTGTGGCGTGGGTGACTCAGATTGGCTGTGGCCACTGCGGAGCTCAGCGCTCAGCGCTTATAAAATCCAAAGTGTGCACTGTGCCGACGCGGTGTTGTCACGTTGGGCAAATGAACATTTACGCTGCAGAATTTTATTAAATTAAAATGAACGTAAGTGGCTATTTTAAAATTTGAAAATATTTATTTGAAAAGAGTAATTTAGCAAAATGGTATGTAGGATTGCGAGTATTTCGCGGAACACTTGGAAGGAATTCGCGGAACACTAGTGTTCCGCGGAACACCGGCTGAGAACCACTGTTCTAAAGCATTTAACAGAAGAACCTTCCTACTAAGTTGCAGAAAATTATTCATCCACCCAGATCAATTAGCAATGAATCCAATCAGAGAGGTCATAAGAAGACAAGAACCGTTTTTTTATATACAAATTATATAAGGTACAATGGAGGAAAGGTCACTGCTTGACCCAACTTTGAGAAACATAATACTGTATGATCAGATAAAATGAAAAATGGCAGAAATCAAGAGAAAGAATCTACTACAAAGGTAAAGTTACTTTACTCTATTCGAAATGTGTAAAATAATTCTTCCAGAAAAGCTTTCTGTAGCTTAGATGCATGTCAGGTAGTTTGGTATCATGATCAGAACGCCCTGTCTTTGAACTAATTAAAATCAGATAACCAAACTAGAAGGTCGAAACAGATTGGCAAATAAAGACTACCATAATATCTTAATGCGAGAATATTTAACCCCCCCCGTTTCTAATTGTATTTCACAAGAGAAAGCATAAACTTTTTAAAAGAGCGATAATGGAGTGGATAAATAAAGTAGAAAATCAAGTAGGCCGAAACCGAAACTACAGTAGATGGAACATGTAGAAAAAGGCAGAAGGAAGGTTGGAGATTTAAACATACACATACATCTACATAATGCAGAAAGATGCGTGAAACACGTGATCATACGAAAACTAAATCATAATGGGTTAATCTATTAACATAATAATTTTCGTAAACATATTTTGAACGATAGGAATACAAATAAAATGTATAAAATAAAAATAAATTTTATCTGCAAAGCCATATTATTATAATTAATATTAAAGTTTTTATACGAATGTCAACAAAGATGAAATATTTTACTTACCTTCTAGAGCAAAAACAAATGTTATATAAAAAAGAATCATCTTCTGTAATTGTATGTTAACTGTCGTTGCCAGACCATATAATATGTCTATATTTAATAGCTGTACTATCTTATCACAGTGTTGAAAAACACTAGATTGTATAAAAAGAATCTATTATTAAACAGGTCTTATACAGCTTGTCTTATACACCCTTGTGGGGTGTAGAGTTGTGTTATAGAGGTAGCACCTTTTATCGGAACGACCACATCGAGCGTCATAGACGGGAGATGGTTCTTGATAACTGGTCCTCATAAGACAACTAACTCTCACTTATGGCTCCACGTGCCACACCCCGGGCAACTGCATTGGTCTGCAGGCTAAACTAAGTGAGGGTAGCCAGATATGGCGAAAATTCTACCGAACGTTTGCCGGTATAAGCAATCCCCCACTTACTGACCAACGGCTTCGGGCGGATGAGTTGGTAAGTGGTAGGGCACCCTTTTGTCCTGGGGTTGGGAAACTGACCCTAAAGGCGGACGAACCGAAAAAATAGGTCAACGGCGTAAGGATGTAGAAGGCAAGGGGAAACCACTACATTAAAGATCCTTAATGGATATCCCTAGTTAATCATTATGGCTAGTACAAGATGGTTACAACAAGTTACTGATCATGATTTTCGGTCGTCAAGATCCGGCAGGGGTAGACAACCAAAAGACTGTAGGGCTCCCCCGGTCGTTAATCTACGAAAACCCTACAAAAAGAATAAAGGTGCAAAGATCGCTACCTGGAATATTAAAACAATTTATGAAGCCGGAAAGATACACAACGTCATACAAGAAATGCAACGCATGTCTGTCAAAATATTGGGACTAAGTGAAACCAGATGGCCAGACTCGGGTGAACAACAGATTTTAAATTCCAAAATATACTATTCGGGAAATAATGATCCAAATCATCGAAATGGAGTAGCAATCATTGTTGATAAGAACTTATGTCAATCAGTCACTTCTTTCAGTCCTATCTCAGATAGAGTAGTTATGGTTTCTTTAACAATGATCCAACGAAAGTTAAATATAATCCAAGTATATGCTCCAACTTCCGACAAGACAGACGATGAAATAGAACAATTCTATAAAGATATACAACAAGCCCTGGATAATACAAAGCATAGAGATATCACGATTGTTATGGGCGATTTTAACTCAAAAGTAGGAAAAGGAGAAGTAGAAGATATTGTAGGGAAATATGGACTTGGTTTAAGAAATGAGAGGGGGGAAAGATTGGTGGAGTTCTGTCAAGAGAACAGTCTGGTAGTTACAAACACTTATTTTAAGTTACCTAATCGTCGACTCTACACCTGGAGATCGCCTGCGGATAATGATAGGAAAGTTATTAGAAACCAGATAGACTATGTTTTAATAAGAAAAAGGTTTCGGAACTCCATTAAATCAGCAAAAACATACCCTGGGGCTGATGCAGCCACAGACCACAATCCCGTTGTTGTATCATTCGATCTCCGATTTAAAAAACTAACTGCACGTTGCAATAAGAATCAAATACAACGTTCATTTTTGAAAAATTCATTTGTAAGAGATCAGCTATCCAAAAAAATTAACGAGGAAATAAAGATAAATATAATCGATCCAGACGAAGATTCGAACAGAAAATGGGAAACATTTAAAAACATAATGCTGAATCCAACGAAGGAGATTCTAAAAGGAAAGAAAAATAATAACACAACAAAGTCATGGATTAATGATGAGATACTGCAATTGATGGAAAAGAGAAGATTGTACAAGAACGTAGACATCGAAAAATATAAAGACATATATGGTGTAATTAGAAAGAAAATAAGAGAAGCCAAGGAAAAATGGTACTCAAACAAGTGTGAGGAAATAGAAGTACTATTGGAAAGGCATGATGACTTTAATCTACATAGGAAGGTAAAAGAACTGGCCGGCATCAGAAAAACAAACCACAGTAGTGTTCTATTAGATGAAAAAGGTAAAATTATCCTTGATAACAACAAGAAAATAGAAAGATGGAAACAATACATACAGGAATTATTTAAAGATGAGAGACAACCAGAAAACATAGAACTATACAACAGTAGAGAAACGGGGCCCAGTATAACAAAAGAAGAAGTCATGCATGCAGTAAAATTGGCAAAAGATAATAAAGCTACAGGTCCTGATGAGATACCAGCGGAAATTATAAAATTAATCGCAGAAGATCAAATAGATATACTAAAAGACTTGTACAACACCATATATGATACAGGCGTCATTCCAAAAGAATGGCTTAAGTCGACGTTCGTGACTCTACCGAAAAAAGCTAACGCTAGAGAATGCTGTGACCATCGAACCATCAGCTTAATGAGCCACACTCTAAAGATATTCTTGAAAATTATACATCAAAGAATTTTCAGAAAACTGGAGCAAGATATTAGTAACACGCAGTTTGGCTTCAGAAACGCAATGGGTACAAGAGAGGCCTTGTTTGCCCTGAATGTATTGGCCCAAAGATGTATGGATGTTAACCAACCTCTTTATGTCTGTTTCCTTGATTACAATAAGGCATTTGACAAAGTCAGACATAATCGCCTCCTACAGCTACTTCAAGATAAAAATCTGGATATGAAAGATATTAGAATAATATCAAACCTTTACTTTAATCAAGTTGCATCTGTAAAGGTTGGCAACGAACTATCAGAAGAAATAGAAATACAACGAGGGGTAAGGCAGGGATGCATATTGTCTCCGCTGCTTTTTAACCTCTATTCAGAAGAGGTAGTTCAGAAGGCACTAAAGGAAACATCAAGTGGAATTAAAGTCAACGGAGAACTTATAAATAACATCAGATACGCCGATGATACTTTAGTAATCGCAGAGTCAGTTGAAGAATTGCAGGTTCTGATAAATAAGATTGTAGACAGTAGCGAAGAGGCTGGACTTACTTTAAATATCAAAAAGACGAAATTCATGACCATCGCAAAGACACAACAACAGGACACGTTATGGATTAGGGACGAACTCGTTCAAAAGGTGAACAGATATACATACTTGGGAACAATCATAATCGAAAACAACGATTACACACAGGAAATCAAATCACGTATAGGAAAAGCCCGATCAACATTCAATACTATGAGAAAAGTACTTTGCAGCAATGATCTGAGTCTGCAACTTAAAGTACGAATGCTTAGATGTTATGTATTTTCTGTGTTATTATATGGAATGGAGGCTTGGACGCTTAAAAAAGATATAAGTAACAGAATAGAAGCGTTTGAGATGTGGGCTTATAGAAGAATTTTAAAAATAAGTTGGATCGATAAGGTTACGAACAACGACGTTTTAAAAAGAATGAACAAGGAAAAGGAGATATTAAATACAATTAAAATAAGAAAATTGCAGTATCTGGGTCATGTCATGAGAGGTGAGAGATATGAGTTGCTGCAGATCATTATACAGGGAAAGATACTGGGCAGAAGAAGCATAGGCCGACGACGTGTATCCTGGCTAAACAATTTGAGGCAGTGGTACAATTGTAACTCTGTTGAGCTGTTTAGAGCAGCAGTGTCAAAGGTGAAGATAGCCGTGATGATAGCCAACCTTCTTAAAGGAGACGGCACTTAAAGAAGAAGATACAGCTTGTCTCACTAAACTGAAACCACGCGGAACTTTTATTTATCTAATTATACTTAGGAATAAAAACTCATATTCTCCATAAAAGTTTTACGGAGTCCCAAACCGAATTATACTGTCGGTTATGTCGGTTATGATATAATTATTTTTTTAAGGTAAACTTTGGACAATATAGAAAGAATTTATTACAAAAACTAATCGTAACTTTAAGTTTATTTCAAAGATGCAATTATATCCTTATCCAATGAATATTTTTTTTCGAAAAGTAGGTACATCTAAAATAACATTTTTTGGCTTTATTGTATTTGAATACTTTATAAACTCGTTAACATCATCATCATCATCATCCAGCCTCCAAAGGCCACTACTGACCATAGGCTTCTTTCTCGTGTTTCACGAGGCCATCTATTTTGCGCCACACTTATTCAGTTTTTGTTTTGTCTTCTTAAATCGTCAGCCCATCGTTTATGTGGTCGACCGACGCTTCTCTTATCTTCTCTTGGTCTCTATTTAAATAACCTATTTATCCATTGCCCATACATCATTCTAGCTATGTGTCCTGTCCATCTCAATTTTAGTCTGGCTATCCTGTCGATGACGTTAGTTACCCTGGTTCTTCTCCTGACCTCGTCGTTTTTTATTTTGTCTCGCCGTGTCATTTCTAAACTGAATAACCCCATTCTTCTCTGTGTGACTCTTAGTTTGGTAACCGAAGTTTTTGTTAAAGTTAGTGTTTCTGCTTTGTATATCAACAATATGCGACAGCTCACTTTTAGAAGTTTCTCTCAGTTTTCCATATGCTGTCCACCCAAGACCGATTCTTTGGTCTAGTAGTTTAGTTTAGTATAGAAAAGTAGTTTAATTTTTTCAAGTAATAGATCTTCTCCAATCTTTAATGCTTCTGACACTATTCCATCTTCGCCTGGGGTTCGATTATTTTTCATTTTCGTCAGGGCCTCTTTGATTTCTAATTTTGTTATATTGGGCATTAAATCTTATCCTTGGTTTAGTACCCCAGTTTTTACTATAATGGTAGTTTGCGTATTGTTATCTTTTTCTCTTGATCGACATAACTCTGTGTCGACTATTCTTAATATTTCATCTCTGTTTTCAGTTTCTTTTTCAGCTTTGTGTCTTCTTCTTCTTACGGTGCCAATCCGTTCCGGATGTTGGCGATCAACATGGCTATCCTAACTTTGCTTGCTGCTATTCTGAATAGTCCGGTTGTCGATGTATTAAACCACTTTCTCAGGTTTTGAAGCCAGGATATTCTTCTTCTCCTGGTCCTCTCTTTCCAAATACCTTGCCCTGAAGAATGAGTTGCAACAAGCCCTCTGTTCATTCCTCATAACATGGCCAAGATATTCTAGTTTGCCCTCTTTGGTGGTGTTAATAATCTCGCAATCTTTGCCTATTCTACGTAGGACCTCAATATTAGTCAC